CTACCCTCTGAGTAAAGAATTTCTTCCTAGCACCTAATTTAAATCTCTCAATTTAAAATCATCACCTCTCATTCTGTCCCTACCTGCCCAATAAAAGGTCACTCTCCCTCCTTTTAATCACCTTTTAATTACTGAAATATCTATCACAATAAGGTCTCTCCAGAGCCTTCTCTTACCTAGCCTGAACAACCCCAGCTCTCTCAGCCTTTTCTCACAGGAGAGATATTCCAGATATCATTTTTGTGTTCCTTCTCTGGACCAGCTCAAAAGAGTCCCTGTTCTTCCTGTGCTGTGATGCCAGAGCTGCTGCAGCCCTGCAGGTGGAGTCTCAGCAGAGCAGAGCAGAGGGGCAGAATCCCCTCCCTGGCCCTGCTGCCCACACTGCTCTGGATGCAGCCCAGGACACATGTGGCTCTCTGGGCTGGGAGTGCCCCTGGCTGGGTCATGTCCAGCCTCTCAGCCACCAGCACCCCCAAGTCCTTCTGGACAGGGCTGTTCCCAGTCTGTGCTCTTGTCTGGGATTGCCCTGGCCCAGATGCATCACCTTGGCCTTGTTGAACTTTACGAGGTTCACATGAACCTGCTTCTCAAGGTTGTCCTGGTGCCTCTGGATGGCATCCCATCTTTCTGCAGTGTCCCCTGCATTGCTCAGCTTCCTGTCTCTGCAAATGTCCTAAGGGGGCACTCGGTCCCAGTGCCTCTGTCGCTGATAAAGATACTGAAGAGCATCAGTCTCAAGAAGTGAATGAACGGGGATGTCTGTTCAATCAATCCAAGAAATAACCCATCATGATTTCCTAACCTATATGTCTTCCATGTCTTATAAAGTTCTATAAACTTGACTGGTTTTATGTGCAATGTATGGTATTTTAGTGGTATGGAGTGATGACCATTTTGATTCTTCAGTTACTTGATAAGGACAATTAAGTTTTAAGTTCAAGAATGATACTGAAGTTGATTCCTGAACCTTTTTGTGCATTTTGTCTATGAGACTGTATAAATAATGGAGATCATACATAGATATATGCTAAATTGATTTGGCAACCAGGTGAGTTTTCAAAACGCCATGTGGTGACTTCCTTACCACAGAAAATTCCACCAACTCAAAAGTTGTCATAGCACTAGATATACTTCAGTATGCCAGTAAATCTTGTAGTTTCAGGAAGCCTCCACTTGTTTTAAAAGATCAGAGGAAAAAGAGTTTAAGTCCAGATTTTGGTTAAGGACATGACGAGAATTTTTATAGCAGAGAATCTGTTCCTTCCACAAAAACCAATATTCCATATAGGAAAGTGTAGATATATTTCTTACATTTCACAAGCATGTAAGGCTCCTAAAAATTCAGCTGGAGAGCCCTATTTTTAGGAGCAGACAGACATAGTTTAATGTCAAAGTGAAAAGCTTAATGTGGTAATGGTTGGTTAGTTCATTTCTATTCATGACTATACTGGTGAAGAATATAATTACAGAACATATATATAATATGAAGTTTTGAATGTCTATTGGAGTATTCAGAATGCATGTGATTTTGGCAAACAGGAGTAGCAGTATGAAAAATGGGATACAATTAAAAAAGTGCAATGGTTAAATGCCAGTAAGAGTGATCAAGAGTATGGGTACAGAACAGAACTAAGTTAGGCAACCACTCAGTAGGAAAGGATTTGTGGCTTAGAAAGGAATGGAAACGAGGTGTGAAAAAAACAGCAACAAAAAAAGTAATCCTTCCTCTCAACACAGACAGACTTAGCTAAGTACTGTATCTAGTCTCAGATTTCACATCTTGAAAGAAGCACTTGGAACTCTCAGAATTACTTGATCTAAGGGTGTTTTACAGTACTAAGTATCACTCTTTTCCTATTTGAAGAGGAATATTTTGCACAGATTAACTGAAACAATTTTTGAATGTACTTGATTGCATCAGAATTTTTAAATCCCATTGCTGGATTTTCTCTATGAAAAACATTTTGTCATGTTCACAGGATCTGTATCATTAGTTTCATTATCTGCAGTTGTTGTAATATCTTCTGGAATGAAATCTGTATTTGATTACAGTTGCAACTATTTGTTATTACCATCAGAACCCTGAAGTGTCACTACTACCTGAATGGGTAAAAATCACATGCATGCAACTATATGTGTTACAGTAAGTCCTACACAAGATAAGTAGCAGCAGTGATCTGAGTAAGTGTAGCCTGTGCAGATTTTCTTATTCAAATTCCTATTTGAGGCCTATTGAATAATCCAAGTGGCAAGTATCAAGTAGATTACAACTGGTTCTTCTGTTGTGACATATTTGGTTTCCACAATATTAGTCTCTAAGCAAATGACACCTCACTGCCATCGTGATTGACCTCACCTACATTTTTGGGGAAAGTCTTCTTGGTTAAGATTCTAAGCCAAGAATGTAATTGAGTTCTGACAGATAATCTCTACCTACCTCTGCAGCACTCTATACAACCTTTAAGAAAAAAGAATATAGTAATGCATCTGAGTCCTTCTTATTTGGATTGTAAGCAAATAACGAACAACTAGTAATCAAATAGTATTGAGAACATCTAACAAACCATTAAGAGGAAAGCACAAGCATTAGTTGTCAACATGAAACCACAAGGAAAATAATGGCTGGAAGAACTCAGATCAAGAATGTCTTTCTAAGGTACGCAGATGCTATAAAATTGTGTCCACTAACTTAGTGTCAGACATTTTTATTCTTTGACCCTTTCTTTGAGCAGATACAATGTTTATGATGATATTTTTGAATTCTGCAAGGGAAATTGGATTTTGATTGCTGCAGACAAATATAAATAATCATTCTCACAGAGCAGCAGAGGTTGCAATAAAATGTCTCAGCAAAGATTCTGATATCCCACATTAAAACTTAGTCTTACGCATTTCTATTCAGCACTCACAACATTTCTTCAGATGTGTTCTTAGACAGTAAAGTCTGGTAATAATTATCAAACACCATACACACTGTTTACAATAGAGTCATATTTCTTCCTTTTTTATTGCATAAAAAGTAGAATGCTGCTGAAAAGTGCCCAAATGTCTGCTATGTGCCATGCCAATACAGCAGCTCAGCCAAATATGCAGAGAGAAGTTTGCCAAACAAAAGAAAACATAACAAATTGGTAATGGTTTCTATCTTGACAGAGAATGAAAATTATACCTCAATGTGTGGCCACTCATGGACACATAAAAATGTCTTAGAGGCAATCATTTTATCTCAGATAACATAGACCCTGACAGTAGAGCAAAGCATACTGGCAGGTTTTCCTTTCACATAAAAACAGCAACCATGACCTACAAAATGGCCTGGAAGAATCATGTTGTTTGTGTGTATCATATATGCATATGCCATACATTAATTGTATTTCATAAAAATCAAATAAAGTTACTGTCTTTAGAGAAGCAGATTCAAATTAAGAAAGAATTTTAAAATTTTGAAGTCACTATAGTTATCTCAAATTTTCTTATACCACAAAAGTAAAACGTAAAGCACTTAATCCAAAATTTGCAATATAACTTTCAGAGGGCTTCACAAAATAGTTAAGCTTTCAGAAGATTTCATTGCTTTGTTAACATTGTTTATAGCCAATGTGTGTAACACACATTTTACAATTTACTTGGCCTCAAAGTAAATGATTTGAAAACAGACTACCTCATCTGTCTGTAAAGTTAACATGAACAGTTACTGAGCTGCAAAATTAATGATATTAATTATTAGTCTATTATGTAGTTTCATATTATTTTAAGTATTTGTTCAAGTGCAATTATAAAGAAAATATTTGACATGAAGATCAAGTTTATAAAATGTTCATTAAAAGGTCAGATAAAGGAATCATGTAGTGGACATGGGAGGTTTAGACCAGATGTTTGGAAGTATTTCTTTATCAAGAGGGTGGTCAAACACTGGACCAGGCTTCCTAGAGCAGAAATCAATGCCCCCAGCCTGTCAGTGCTCAAGAGACATTTGAACAGTGCCCTTAACAACATAGCTTTTGGCCAGCCCTGAAGTTATCAGGCAGTCAGGATGATGGTTGTAGATCCCTTCCAAATGAAATAATTGCTCTATAACTCTTGGAGGACTTAGAAGCACTTAGGTAGCTCAGAAGGATCTCAAAATATCAGTGAAATCCAAGGATCTCGAAATTTATATTGTGTGTTATCTCATCCTCAAAGAGAAAGACATAATGAAGGTAGGAAAAGACATAATGAAGGAAGAAAACACTGTTTGAAGAAGTAACAAAATAATTTTAAGTCATCTGATATACAGAAATACTGGTTGTCTTAAAACATTTGTCAAGAACTTTGTTAAAGTTTCTATTTTACTGGTAATTTTGCCGTAGCTCCAATGGCTTATGCATACAACTATGAAAAAAACTGTAGGCAGAGACAGCCTATTTTGTTGGACCAGCTGTAGTGTTTGCCTTATAAACATGACATATAAGGAGATGACATATCCTTACAAAGCTTTTTTGCTAGGGTTTATTTTCTTTTTTCCAGGTATTTTATGTATTTTTGCCTTATGCCTACTTTTATGAGCATTTAACAGCATGCAAACTACCTACCTAAGGTGGGTAGTTTGCATTAAAGATGAATATGAGACAACAGGGTACACACTGATTCCTTGACCAGGAGGCATTAAGGCAGTAACTTCTGCAGTGCTTTATCAACTTCAGTAATACCCCACTGCCTAGCGGTCACCCTACACTTCAGATGAGTCAGACTATCTTCATCTCATCCATCATTTAAAAATACTTACCACACTCAACACACAGTTTTAGAAGGATTTAAAACTACAGAACACTAAATGTCATCTACTTTCATGACATATTTTTCAGAGTGCTAAACCAGTACCTTTTAGCTGACTCCTAATGAAGCAGCAGCCTTCACATTTGGTGTTTTCTGCTACTCAAATTTATGCATACCAGTGCTACTGTGCTAGTACAGCAGGATTTGTATTGGTAAACACAGAAATCCAAAGGAAAAAAACTCACCATCCTTCGTCATTATCTACATCAGGTTCAGAAAGCTCATTTTCAGGAGTTTCTTCAATTGCCTGGGTTAACTTTGTTTTGAATCGGTCTAACAATGCCAGTGTCTGAAATTAAACACACAGTTTTAGAGAAATTGTATATTTCTACATACCAACAGGCATATACAACGTTTTTATTATTTTGAGAAAAAGAACAATGAGAGTGATTTTTCATATGAATTTGGAAGAAACACTTTAGAGAGGTAAGTGAGAGAGCAAGAGGTGACGGCAGGTGTGAGAGCAGGACTGCATGGAAAGCGCCGGAGTGAGTAGGGCAGGCAATGCTGAGGCAACAAGATCAAGCAGGGAGGGGCCTGTCAGGTGTGAAAAAGCACTTCCCTCACCATCTAGTGAAATAAAAAGGAATATTTAAGGAACAAATACTTGTAGCTACCTAGAGAATAAAACAGCTGATTAAATAACACTGCCGACAATGAATTTTGCTTTTTGGACATGCTACTGTCCTCTTTTAAAGTAATCTACTGTATAAATTACAAACCACTCAAGCCTCGAAGACCCAGTTTAACTGATACTTATATACTTTATGTTGATGATCTTTTAAATTATGTGTGGACATTGAAAAAACTCGAAGTTTTTGTCAAAAAAATGAACCAGCTTAACTAATTCTGCAGATACAGGTTCTTATGCTGCACACATAAAGCTCATACTCATTTAAATCTGCTGTTTTATTCTCAAATGGACACTGCCTGATCTTTCAGGGACAATGAAATCACCAAATCTCAGATGACACCTGAAGATCATACCATAGTTCTTGTTTCTGATCATCTCAAATGGGAGTTTGATTATACAGAAGTCATACGTCTGAGCCTTGTGATGGTAGAAGGGGGCTCTTCAAAAAGAAGTGAAGAGCATATGAATAATTTGCACAGCCCACAGCTTTTTTTTTTTTTTTTTTTTTTTCTGATATTTGAGACATTCCTGAAAATGAAAGCATCAGGGAGTAAGTGCCTAACTGAATTTATGTGGCAGGCTACATTTGATTTGTAGGTGATAGGTTGGCAACCTATGTTGTAAAACACCTCTGTACGGCTGTGTAGTTTTGTTTGGTCAAGTTTTTCAAATTTAAAAGAATAAAAACTAAACAAGAATAGAAAACAGAAATAGGAAATACCAGAAGTGTTCACTGGAATCAAATTTCCTTCTGGGAGCAATCTTAACTTGAGGAGTTTCCTGGCTTTTGAATTCTTTCAAAAACATATTTTAGCACTGCCAAGGGTAGATTTTGGAGGACTTTTTTTGCATTTACTTTCTTTATTTTCTGTCTATTCTTCTGTTTAAGGTGAGAAAGATGAAAGTTTTGAGGATATTTGGGCCTGAAAATCATTCTAGTTTTACAGCTTTCCATACTATTGTAAACAAACACTGTACTTGCAACACCTGAGACAGCAAATCTTTGCTGAGGTCATCCGAAGGAAACAAACTCAAACTGCCCCTTTTAATATGAAACTGTGACCAAAAAAAAGCCACATTCCTTGTGTCTTGTCTAATTTTCTCTGGTGACAGCATTCCTGTGAATAGACCTGATGACAGAAATAATTTTGAAATATCTTAGTGGGCATTTTTGCATTGAGTCACTAGATGCTATACTGTGCTTTGAATAACTTTATAATTTGACCCTTGCTGAATAGGAGGGCTAGGACTACCATTATCTAGTATTTTAGGGAAAGATACCTTTTCTCCCCCTCCCTTAACTATTGCACTGAGGATAGAAAATGGTGTCATATCGTAGGATAAGTTACAAGGGGTGTGAGACAAGAAGAGGCTCTCCACAAGTGAAATGGATCACAAAAAACTTGATTAATTATTGTTGAATAGCTGCCAGCAGGCTTACATAAATAAAAATGAAGATCTCCTACAATATATATCCCTATCAACTCATCTTGTTTTCTGGTGATGTCTAGGACAGGGCTGATATAAATTCATTAGACATGGTTTTAAGTCCCTTGATCCACACTGCCAACAGAGCTTTAGTACTCTTTGATTCAAAGATAATGGGATTTTGAATGTACAAAGTTTCCATAAACTTCTTAGTTCAGGGCTAAATCAGCTTGCTGCATATATAAAGGTTTGCCAAATGCTGCTTTGAAGTTACTAAGCCTCAAGTTTCCACTCTCTTCTAGATTCAACATGTGAACAGGAACATCTTCGTAGTTGAACTGACATGCACTTACAAACCAATGTATTTGATGTACAACACAGATTTTAAGTTGATGGTATTTCCACTTCATAGGCAGTTTCATATATTTAACCATTTCAGACTTTCCTGTTTTAGAAAAAAACAATTGCCTTTGTAAAGCAAACCTTACTTTGCTCATATTTGCCTACTAGAGCCTACAGACATGCTAACTAATTTTGAATAATAATTTTAATTGTATTTAAAAGAGCTTCTCTTTTTACAGTCTTATAAACCATTTCTTTCATTTCACAACAAGAAGTATTGATGAATTTAATATTTTTAAACTGTAATTTAAAATGCTAAAAACCAAATGCCAAATATGTAAATTTCTGTCCCAGTGTTATCTTACAGCAAGGAAAGCATAAGGTGAAAAAATGCAAATTCTTAAAAATGTAATCAAGGACACCTCTTCATGACTAGCATTTCCTTTCAGAAGATTTTAGCAACTAAACTGGGATCCCCTTCAAGCACACATTGAAGATTCACTTACCTGTCTAACTGGGTAATTAAAATATTTATTTTTATGAATAATAACTTTCTTTTAATAGAAAATGAAATAACAGATTTTAAAACTCTGCTTTTATACAAATCAAGAGATAAACATACTCAAAAATGAACATAATTCGTTTTCTGGATTTTTTTTTGCACAGGCTATCAAACTATTACCTGATCTTCACGGGAAACTCCTTTCTTTGGCTGCTGCTTTCGCTTGTCTTCGTATTTTCTCTTCTCCTGAAGGTATTCTTCAACAACACTGTTTGGAGCAGGTTCCTCCTCTGAATAAGGAAACATATTTGGTTAAACAAATTTAGTTTGGTTTCATGATTTAATGTATTTTTGGAGATAAAATACCAAGCAAAACACTCCCATAAAACATTTCAGTTGTACTGCTTTCTCAGCAGTAGAATGATTTGCTACTTGCTGAAATGAAAAACACAACACTGCATTGGGCAGAGAATGAGTCAAAAGATTTTTCTTTCAATTATACTTAACTATGGAGCCAGGGAGAGCAGGATAACAGAAATAAAACCTCTGATGAAAACTGCTGAATTCCTTTAACCAGATGACCTTAATTACTGAAGATCTTTCTTGTAGCAGTTGAAATGTTGTGTGAGTTAATATTCTGTGACTATTTGTTCAAAAGTAAACAATTTATAGAAAATGTCACAGTTTTCCTCTTCTGTAGGCTGAAGTAGCCACAAATCAAGTTTTGATTTTGCAATATGGAAAAAAACTCAGTAACATTTAAATTTTTAAGAGTCCATGCTATTAATGAGGAATAAACTATTTTTTATATAACTCTTCAGGAATAAAACTATTTTTTATAAAGTGATGAGTCAAGAGCTACTCTGTATTTTTTTTACAGTGTCTTCACTGCAGATTTTTCACTGTCTCATTAAATTATTAATGAATAAATTATTCATTAGTAGTTTAATGGGACAAAAACTGAACTGGAAAACTGATCAACACCACACTTTCACATTATTTTCTTCTTCTTGAACAGCATTAAGACAATGTACATATTGATTTAGTATACTTAAAACTTATGCACACATATTTACACAATTGTTATTCCTGAAGAAACAGAAGAATAAACCTCCTGGATATCCATTGCAAATAATGAACATTTGCAAACGAAAATATTTTTGGAGAAAAATGTTTCAAGAAATTCCAGGATATATGGTCTGGTGAACTGTAAATCTAAATGAATTTGTTGTTATCAGGTTTTTTAGATGACTGCTGACAGCTGTACAGAAAAAGTTTCTGATTCCAAACTAAATGTCTCTTGCAACTCAAGTTTACTATGAAGTTTATAAACATAGCCATTTGTAATAAAAGGAAATAAATTTGTAATTATATATTTAGATATAAAATACTTGTTTACATATTTCTATAAATAAAATATCTTATTTCCTTTTAATCCTAATTTCTACATTGCAATTGAACAACATTTAAACCCTTTCTACACTGTATTTAAAAGGTACCAGGAAAAGTAGTCAAGCATACTTAATACCATTCAGAGCTGGGGTTTTTTGCTGTTTCCAGTTGATATGTTGGATATAATAATGAACAGAGTATCACAGGTACCAGCAAAACAAAGAAAGAAAAATCAATCTTCCAGAATGATCAAAATAGAAAAATGCATACACACACACATTTAGGGAAGATTAAACAGCTGCATGAATGAAATCAAATCTGGCATAAAATTTCATGCAGCATAATATCAGATGAACTGAGGAGAACAGAAATTCACAAAAAAACTACCACATATAATGAAAAAGCTCAGTATTTCCCCCTATTATGTCAATCTATTCTACTAATTAAAAATCTTTTTCTTAATTCAAGACCACCTCCTTGTCAAAATAATGCATTAGTTTTAGCATAAATGCATGTATCCAAAGTGTTGACTGTCTGGAAACAACATAATGTTGTCTTTTACTAACATTTAGCCCCTAGATAAATAATTTGAAGTAGAAAACCATCTGCTTCCTTATAAAAAACAACCTTTCAGGTGACATTTAGCTAAATGAGTACTCTGAAGGGAATCACATTTACCCCATGATCAATATAACTGCCCTTAATGCAATATAATTGCTTATCTATGATAAGCAAAAGAACTGAGAAGAGTGCTCATGAACATATTTGAAAACACCAGTCACAAACTGGCCACAAACATTTAAACCTGAAATCCACCCTTTGATATACATGTGCTGAATTTAAAGATGTGATCCTTACTCAGATAGGTCTTTTGCCTAAAATTTAGTTTAAAGTAGTGCAGCTCAAATACAATTCTAATACAAAAAGGGTAAAATTCCCCTGAAGCTGTGTGTCTGTGTGTTTTTATCACACCCTTATGTGTGCCACTTACTGTTAATACAAGTAATTTAAATTTCAGTTAAAAGACTTCTTTTGATATTATTGTTTCTTGGGTCTTTGCCTGTCAGAGGTTTCCTAATCCTCAACTTCATGCTCTCTGCCTACTAGGAAAGCCTTTTCATAACTCAGACAAAAGACAATCAGATCCACTTGAACTAACTTCAGAGTGACTCAACCAAAAGAGCTGTCCCCTTGTATGCATCATATTTTTCCAACTTTCGTTAAAATTATTTAAAAACATGCTTGTATTTCTTCATGAAGTCCTACAACCTATCACACAACATTTAAAGCAAGCAACAAAACAGGAAGAACTTTCAAGAGCCCCTAAGCCAACGGGTTATTAACATTTTAAAACTTGAAAACTCCAATGATTACAAAACCATAGAGTACTTTTTAATAGAAATTATATATTCAGTTTTTGGTAAGCAGGAATTATTTGATAAAATTCCTTTGTGTCTGAGTGGTAACTAGCAAGCAAGGAAAAAAGTCCAGAAGAGAGAGACTTGGTGGGAAGAAAATTTTTAAAATGTAGAAGTAGATTGCTGCCTACTACTTCATATCTCCCAGTCTGCAACCCAGATTCCCTGCAAGTCTTTTGCAGCTGAATTGAAAATAAGAGGTATCACAAGATACAGAAGCCAATTTAAGTTACAGGAATCTTGTTCCCTAGGAGGATCTCACCACAAACGAAGTGTAAATAGCGTGAAGGAAAGAATTTCTTGTTGAGTTTGAACAAGCTGTTGTGTATATTCCATGAGGAAGGAAGGTGAGGGGGAAAAAAAAAAGAAAACAGATAACCTACCTTATTGAAAATACATTTCATGATACTTTCAAAAGAATTTATAAGTTGCTGTTTAGGTAAGCTAGCTTGAGTTACCACCAAGAAAGTCTTCATCTTACTGTGTCAAATTAATTTCTTTCAGGCTGATTCTTCTATCTTGAAATTATGGCCAATACATGCCAACATGATGATGTAATCTAACCTAAAACTTTGGGTTTGGGACATGGTTCACAGTGATAGTCTGAAACTAAGGAGGAAATCCTGAAGTCTTTAAACCAGAAAGGAAGATATTAATTAAAAAAAATATGAAAGACCTTATTTTGCTCACACTTAAAAAAGGAACAGTTTAAATGATGTCTGTTTTTAACTACCAAATGGAGGAAATATACCAAAGGTATAACTTGATCCAAGGGCATTGAACTGAAATGACTGGATGGTTTAGGAATGATCAATTCCTAATAACAAGTGAAGCAGAAAAGAAAGCTTGGTAATTTTAAGCTTAATTTCTGAAGCATCTGGTACATTTAACAACATAACAAACACGCAACAAAAGATGTACCAGAATTGTTCTGTTTTCAAAACTGCAATTTTATCTTCCACTAAATGAAATAAAGAAATATGAGTTCTAATTCAGCTGCCTGTGGTAGATCAGAACAGCATGATCACTGCTTATGCTCACATTGATACTGCTCTTGAAGACTGGGCTCCATTGCTAGCACTGCAGGTAGTGTAACTTTGTCGTAACAAGTCCACCAATTGTGGCACAGATAAAGCACAATTTGACACAAATGCAGATCTGAGAGTACGCATGCAATTTTCCACAGTACAAACTTTTTAAACAAACCTTGCAGTAATTACTTTTCTTGTAATTAGAATCCATATGAAATTCTACAGATTTTATTTCCTTTTAAGAAAGAGATAATGAAGCTGCACATACATCACTCATTGGAAAATGAAGTGAATTTGGTTTGGTGAAAGTTTTACCAGAAACACGCATGAAGGGTAGAAAAAAATACATATTGTAACAAAGAAAAACATCCTGATTCTGAAGATATAATGCTACCACAAAAAAAGCAAGAGCCTATAGCATTGAAAAGGATCAATGAAAGACTTATGATTTTTCTTTAATTTTTTTCTTTCATGAGCTAGCATGAAGATATTTACACACACTTAAGTATTTTACATTACAAAACATTCTGGATATGCTAAAGCAATCTCATTAACTATTGTAATGTCATTTTCATATGTAATCATGAGTTTATGCAGAACTGAGATAAGATGAAGAATGTAACAAGAAGAATGTACAAAGACGCACATATAAAAAGGCATCCCAGTTTATTTAGAAGGGTTTGTGTATGTTTGAAATGTGCTGGGCCCATAAATTTTCCTCAGTATCCAAAATGTATTCTTTAGCAACTCAGATGTCACATTTCATATGACAAAATACCTACGGGACAGAAATTCCAAAAAATGCATGGCATAGCTAGACTAAATACCAAAGTGTCAAAAAACCTTAAAAACTTCTTGTTTGTTGTTTGAAGAGAAAGTAATTATGATTGAATGTTTTGGTGAATTAAAGTAAGAGACCTAAAACACATTCCTGTATTATTTCAGTACATTCCACTTTCAGCTCATCAATATACAGTTTATATTGCATTCTTTTGGAGTTGTAAGGGTATGCCGCACTCATTTAAAAAATCTTACTGAGACTGAAATCTTAAAAAGAGAAGTTGTTTTTGCTCCAAACCAAATAAAATCCTCACAAATTATAAAAAAAATTCTAATATGCCATAATATTTGAGGAATTAAAATAGAATTCCAATCAGAAGTTACAAATAGAGAATTTAGAGACACTTTGGATAATTAATAATCAAAACAAATAACTCACTTCTCCCAGAATTAAGAAAAAAAAATACAGCTTTAAATACTATGTATCTGAAACTTAAAATATAGTTTAGTGTAAAGTAGTGTAAAAATTAATATACCAGAAAAACAATATAAAATAATTTTATGGCTGAGAAAGTTAGTAACATAATCTCCTGTATATTATTGATTAGGACTAGTTCTACTTATGTTTTCTACTTAGGTTTTCTTTGCACCTTCAAGAACTGTTCAGTTAATGTTGATATAGCTCTGGGCTGCCTAAGATTCTAAAGAGCCACTGTTTGCCAAGAAGTTAGGTAAGAGTGAGGAAATATTTAGCAACTGTGAACAATTGAATAGATTTGCTTACAGAATGAGCTTCCATGGTTGGACTGATTACTAGATTTTCAGTTTGCTATAATGAAAAATGTAATAGTTCTAGAACAAACTTACTAGTTCATTCAGAAAACTCAAACAATAAAATCTTAGAAGTAATTCCTAGAGGTTCAAAACACTTACCTGAAAGACCAGAACAGATTTGCAAAATAGTGTGAACTGCAAGTTTCTAGTAAATGCTTTCTGAACTTTGGTAGGCACATGGTCCTAGTCTAAAATACAGTTAATTTTCAAATGTTGGTGGATTTTGAGTACATACTTAAGATTATTACTAAAATCAAAGCTGGTTTACAGTGAGGTTTTGTCCTCTTTTCTTCTGCAGACAGAGAGACAAACGGAGAAAAGTATTCACCTTAGCAGGAAGGGGACTGCTGGGTATTAGGGGATTAAATGTCAAAAAAAATGTGAACACTGGGAGAAAACAAAGTTTTGCAAAGATGACAGACGGATACTTTGCTACAATGCAGCTCAACTGTATATACTGAAAAAAATCTTCATACTTAATGCATTTATGCTGCAAAGCTCTCAAATGATCAAAATTTGGATTTTGTTATTTTCAGAGAGTTCTGAAGGGTCCAAAACCCTATTAAAGTCCCAGACTTCAAGAAAGTATCTTTCCATGTAAGAGAGGGCTTAATTCATTGAGTGTCCCTTACATTACCCAGATTTTAAAATAAAACAGAAATAAAACACAATGTTACACTGGAATCCTCACTTGATTTTGAGAATTTTCTAAATAATTTTCTAAATTTTCATTTTCCACAATAAAAAACCAAGCAGAAAATGCCTCAGTACTACATGCCTTAGTAGAATTCTTACCCTTGAATGTTAGTTTTTACTTTAGTTGTTAGGTTTCCCTATTCAGACAGTGTTTTACAGCTTTTCTGTCTTCTCATGTATGACAATTAAATTTCATAGTCTTACATGACTATGTAATGAAATTGTCATTACAATTTCATTACATAGTCATGTAAGCAGATTAGTCGTCTGCTTACAAAAAATGTTCTAACAAGAAAATCTAAAATATTACTTCCTAAATACTTCTACTGTTTAAAACCCACATATAATTAACTGCGCAGATGCTGTATGTCTGAAGCAGATTTCACTGAAGTACATTCCCAGGTTTACCCTACAGAACTTTGAAAATTCAAAAAAATATTTTCTGAATATTTGACCAAGTACTTCAAAATGCTGAACTAATTCAGCACTCAAATGATAGTGTTTGATGCAATTTCTGGCATCACTACAACAAACGTCACATAAAAGAAAAACATCTTATTTAAAGTAAGGTCTTGACAGCAGTCTGGCACTGTCAACAAGACTATTCATAAATTGGAAGACTGGTTATAATCAAACATGTATGTTTTTTTCTCTGACCTCTTGAAACAATGTAAACACTTAAATTTTCACTCTCCAGTCTTTCTTAATTAATCTAATCACCAAATACAGAAAAATATTAGGTAAACATAATATGAACAATTTGAAGAAGTGATACTAAATGTGATGCCAATACTAATAAAGATCTGTGCTGTAGACTTAAAATAGATGTTTCATGCTGCAGACCCTTTCTTAGCATCCTCTCAGAACAAGACCCAACCTTGTCAAGTATGACCTAAGCCTTATTCTCACCGTTCTGTGATCTTCAGTGAAATTCTCCCACTGTGGCTGCAAGTTCTGGCTGCAATGTAGTGTTAATTAATCAAGCACAGAATCACACTGATGTGGTTACATAGCCTGTGAACTAACATTTTTCCCTAATCCAGCCAGCTCAAAGCATAGGCAGACACAATGCAAGACACAAGGCATATCTGATACAGTATGACAACTCACTCCCCATCCCAAACTCCCCAAGAGGATAGGCAGAGAGCAATGGAAAAATCTACTGCTACTTAAACATCAACTTCCTGATAGAAGTATTTCTAAAATATGTACAATTTCTTACACATAAACTAACGTGGAATAGGTAAACTATTATATGTTTAGCAGACTGCCTTCCATGTTGAAAGCTCTACTGTACTGATTAAAATTCAGGCCAATAAATGTAAAATAACTAAGTGCTTTTAACTTTGGAGCAAAATTACTTATTTGGTACAACACTTCTATTAGAGTTCATTATATTAAAGTCTTTCTAAAGTCTGTTCTATTATTCCTCAGTTGTAAATTCTGTTTCACAATAAAGGTATGCTTCATTCCTTGGCCTTGAGATTTCACCCTTCCAACCCCCCTCCCTACATAAATTACACTTATCTTCAAGTATCTCCTAATAAAGCTGTCCAATGGTGTTCTGCTAGTTTTGGGTGGTTTTGTCCATTTTAATTGAATTGTTCATTATCCTTTTTGGTGGTACAATACGTGGAACTGACTGCAATAGTACAACCACACTTTTACAGGTACTGCATTTGCAGCAACAGCCACACAGTGACAGCCACATCAGAGTGTAAATTCATGTTCAGTTCATTTTCTAGTACAAACTTGAAATCTTTCACTACATTTTCATAAATAATTTTATCCTTCACTACTTGCATCTCATTTAACATCCTTTTAATTTTACCTTAAATTTTAGAACATGTTTATTTTAAAAATTTTTAGTTAGGTACTCCACTGACTAGGTCAATAGATATTTCCTGCCATCCATCCTTCTCAACAGGTACTGGAACAGACCCCTTCCTATCACAAAAAGGAAAGTCAAGATTATTCAAGATTATTTGTGTCATTAGCTGTAACTTGTCTAATTTATGGCCTGCCTGCTATTTGTTTCAAAGAAAATAGAAGCCCCTCACCAACTCTGGTATATAAGCTCCCTTTGCTTGAATAGATGGTATCCTTCCAAACTGTACCATAGTAGCAACTACTGCCCAAGTATTACTTTATTCTGTCACTGTAAAGGTGAATTTCCTCAAATTACAAAGTCCACCGACTGGCACAAAAATAGGGATAAGTTTAAGCAATAGTGTAAGAGCTGCCATACATGGCACTATTCAAGATAATTTATTATATACGTACAAAAGGACTACACTTTACCTTTGCTATACCTCTACTCACAGTTCTTTTTTTTACATGGCTAGTGACAGCATTCATTCTTTTGCCAGTGAGAGCTTATATTCTAGTGATTACTGGAACATTTTCAGAGTCAGCAATTTTTAACATTTGGTGCCAGATTTCATATACAAAGCCATGATAACGTATTTCTTTACTTTGTCGAAATACTGATCAAGCTCACCTATTATTCAAGAGAGTCCACAAATTTTTCTAAAAATTACGTTATACTTTCTACCACTCTTGTAAATTGTGTGTTATCTGAATTTTGAAAAAAATAGTTTTATATTTTCTTTCATATTTCTATAGTATTGAGAACTGAACTAAGAATCCACTCTAAAAGTGTGTCTCGCAACCCCACAGTGTTTAAAGACACTTTTTTGTTTCTTCAGTTTGGCTAATAAAGGGTGTTTCATCCTTCTGGACTAAAATGTGCACTTTACATGCTATTATAAACGTAGCAATTTATACACATTTAAAAAGAAACAGAATATAAAAACTGTCTGACAAAGAAGAGGGCAGCTGAAGATCCCATTTTGTTAAGGTTTATGGAAAATAAATATGGTAGTGACTTTGTGAATTTGAATTCCATCAGTGTCTTAAGATACACTTAAGTTTTAAATCAGTAGCTTTGAGTTCAAAGTTAGCCATCTGCATTTAAGAACCTTTCCAAGTCAGAAAGTCAAAAAGACCTTGCAAATTAAAGAGCACGGATGTAACTAACGAATACTTAGAAGGAGAAATACTACCTGATTTGAGAACAAATGCTACCTATACAATTTCCTTACGTACTGGCATCATTACATTGCTACCATCCCTAGGGAAAGAAAAAAAAAATCTACATTTCAACAATAGTCCACATTTATGTACATTTATAAAATAGAAAACGAGAAACCCTTTAAAACCAGAACATTAACTGGAGATCTACACCAAACCTCTTACCTTCTTTGTCTTTGAGTCTTAAAGCTCTTTCTTCTTTTTTGTGCTTTGCTTCCAGCAATTCTCGTTTCAGCTGTCGGGCTTCCTTCCGTAGCTCCTCACTGCAAAGAGAAACATTTACAAAATATAATCTTCTGAGATGTACAACTACTCAAAAGAAACAGAATCAAACTTAATGGGAGTAGATTTTTGATACAAAGGGAAGGTACAGACTCACTGATGCTAAGAACATGGCTTAAAAATCACTTAGGACCTCAGAAAGTCCATATTTTCATTAGCAGGGATAACAAAAGAACATTAACAGACATCTTACTTTAAGACCCCATTAGAAATATGTTAAGGAAATGAATAATAGAACAAGGAATCCTCATTTGAATTTTAACATTCTAGTTAGCAATGAAAAGCACACGAAGAGAATCTGAAACAGAGGTACTGCCAAATAAATATTCCATGTGTTATAAAATTCAGTTTGCTCAAGTAATAAATCTTAGTATTTTTTCCTGCATTTTTGGCGGGACAAGCAATGCAGTTGGTCAGTGACAAAGACATGAAACGTATGTAAGCATATATTATTAGATATGAAAATTAATTTAATTCTACAAATACCTAATGGGATAACACTAGAACTAGAAAAAAGAAACTAAAATTTTCAAATCATTGTGCCAATGTCAAAAAAATATTTTTCTTCATAGAACTACAATTTTTAAGGGACCTCTGAAGATCAGACATTCCAGGTTTCTTGTTCAGTTGAGGGCCAAATACAGGAGGATGCTGAGAGCACCATCCAGTCAGGTTTTGAATAACCAAAAAGTCTCTGGGCAACTACTTCTTAACCTCCCTCAATGCAAAAAAAGCTCTACTGTAAATTTAATTTAAATTTTATTTCAGCTCATGCCAATTTGTGACCATCTAATGGTTACCTGTGGAAAAGAACTGATAATTAGTTCAAATTTTTCTGATAGAATTTGTATTTTGCCCTTTAAAATCTTTTTAGTTTTAAATTAGGTTCTGGCTGATTTAAATTTCATCAAAATAAATTGATCTGCAGAAATTATTACAATGCAGGAACGTGACATGCAAGCATTTTTTCCCTGCAGTCATTTTATGTACCTTAAATTTAATCTGTAATACCACTACTGATTACACCCTTTTCTAAACAAAAGACTCGGAACTGTTGGGTGATGACTACTTTTGATTTTCGTTGTCATTTGTATGTATGCACAAATACAGAAAAGCATTTGCAAAAAGCACTTACAAAAAACATTAGCAAAGAAGACTATCACTGTAAAGTTACTCAGCTAACCACATCAGGAGGTCTTTATTTTCAACAGCATGGCAGAAGCTGCACTAAGCAAGATTAACAGCTTTTACAAAAAACTACAGTTCTACTTTTCTACCTGAAAATAAAATCATAGGGGAAAAAGAGATAAAGAGAGATTTTTGATCCAAGTATCTCCATTGCTTTTCTATAAACTGGGGGTGAAACTATAAAAAGCTGCATTACAATACTATTATTGTATACTGCAACGTTTTCTTATTGAAGTTGCACAGCAGGAACAACAGATATCAATAAAAAGCTGTACGTTTAAAATATTTAGAGGGACAGACAGTGACAGCAACACAGAGAGAGTGGGTTACAAGTGGCACTTGAGAATAACAGAGTCTAGCACGTCACAAGTTTCCTGTAAGGGGGACCCACTTACTCTTTCTCTTAGCTAGCTAAACACTATTGCAGCATGAACAATGAACTACTGCAGCATGAACAATGAACTAGCTAGCAACTATTATTCAGCCCCTCCACACCCTCTTTTTCTCCAGTCGAAAGAAGTTTTTATACAGAACACAGAAAATCTCAACTCTTAGTAAGTCTAACTCCAAAATATTTCTTCAAGACCTTTCTATGGTCAGTACTAGGTCAATAAACAACTTTGATACTTGGCTCTTTACAGACTCCACACTTAGCATATTTTTTTATTTCTAGGTGACTTTGCCAAATCAGGTTGGTGAGAAAGGCAGTAACTTCATCTTTGATGCCTAGGTCTTTGCATGCAGTATATTTGCATTCAGGTTTCACATAACATAGCTGTTAGTTTATAATCAATTATGTAAGTGCCTGCTATCCTTGGAAAATTTCTGTTGCTAAAAAGGCACAGCTCTCTGCTCCGTCCTTGTCCCATTGCTCCCTTGATTCCACAGCTACAGCCGGTTCTCCTCTTCCTCTTGCTTCCTGCTTCTTCCTCTTTTTCCAAGTTTCTGTAGCCTGGAAACCTCTACTCTCTACATGCAGACATGCTGCCAGAGCAGATGTAACCTTCCCCTGCAGAAGACCGAAAAGGATCTAACCAAATGGTTCATAACACCAGAATTTTCAGATTCTACTCAGAACAATAAAATTATTATATCCACAAAACTTAGTGATATTCCATTTGAATTTCTGGTTCAGCTGTGCCTTGGTTTGATAGTTCTTACTGTGAACAGTGAACTGATAGGAACTCCAGATGTTAAGAACTGTAAGTACTTAGGTAACTTGTGCTGAAATCTAGTTACACCCTGAAGACACCATGTATGGCGATGGGATCAGCTTTCCTGGTAAACTATCTGAATGCACAATCAAGAAACAACTCTACATTGTTAATTATGGTCACCACTCTGGCTTCTCTTTAGCATATTAATTAATACTCTTTAAAAAGAGCTCTTTTTTAAAGAGAAAGTGTTCTAACATTCACTTTAACCTCTTCTGTCTAATCCAGAACTCCCTGCAGTATTTCCTTAGTCCTTCTGAAGATGGAATTCGGAATCAGATATACTGATGGGTTTCAGCTTTCCTGCAAGTCTCTGCTGGTGGTGTACTGTGTTCCTAACTCAAAAAGGAACATAAGGTCAACATTGCACTGAACACTAATTTTCCACAATCACTCTCAATTCACCTCTTGGTCATTTCTTTCCAAAATGTCATTCATCTGTTGTACTTTCCTACAGCTGTAGGGCAGTACATGTGCATTTTTGATTTCCAGCTGTAAAACGTAGCATTTAATTATATTACAAGGATATTTTTATTGTATTGTGCCAACTTAGGTATTAAATTCAAATTATTTGTAATATTCTGTTGACATGTACTCTATTAATTTCTAATGAGGACTTCTAAAAAGTAAAAATAAGAATGTCACTGGCTTTCAAATAAATGCTTGAAACAAACCTACCTGAACTATAAACACTGCAGAAATTCAGTTATTTCTCTATATCAAAGACTCAACACTTTCTGAACCTGTATCATAACAATTCCCTGCCTCTAGTTTTCCCAAAAGGCAATACAGTTATCTACTGCCTACAACATCACACTAACTTGCATTAATTTTACCTTTGGTAATTTCTTTTTCTTATGAAGAGTGTACAAAACCATTCTATTATACCTGGTTAGGTGTGAAGGAAGGCTAACTTGCCTTCATTTCTCTGTATCATACCTACATGATGAAAAAGTAGTTCTGTTCTTTGAATTCTTGTAGTTTTCTAACTTTCATTAAAATGAACACTAGTAAATCAGAAAGCATTACATTTTCACCAAAGTTCTTACACTTAAGTTAGCTAACCCTGGTATCTGAAAATGTTTAATCTTAAAAGATGAGGGAAAAAATGTTTGAGAACAGCCTTACTAAGAAGGACTGGGAGGTGCTCATGGATGAGAACATGAATATGACCCATCAGTGTGCACTCTAAGCCCAGAAAGCCAGCTGTGTCCTGGGCTGCATCAAAAGCAGCATGGCCCCCAGAGAGATGGAGGTTATTTTCTGCAATTATCTTCTTAATAACATATATTCCATACTTCAACTTTCTCATATGTACATTTTTTTTTATTTTAGATCAGAATAATACTCAGTTCATAAGAAATAAAATCAGTTGGAAATTTAGTCAAATATTTTTGATTAAATGGATGAAATTGTTTCTAAGTGCCATGTATTGAAGGTGTTTTTCTGAAAGTAATTAAGGGTCTTCCGAATTTACAAAGTAAATTTATTCAAAAAAGAGAAGTTCTGTATTTGACTTCACTTTGGCAAAAGAAAAGAGAACTGATTGCAGAAATAAACAGTAATTGTGACTTTGGTGTAAGTGACCATACAATCACACTTGCTATGCACAAGTCCAACAACATTCCTCCTTCTCTACATACATATGTAAGCCTCTTCGTAGTTGTAGGCTTCTGTGCGTACGTATATAAACCATAACTACCTGTATTTATTTAAGCATACCAAGTCTCTAACAAATAAAATATATATTAGGTATAGACACAAATAAGACCTAGAGGGTCACAGTATGTTATTCAACTGTGATTTCGGGAAAAGAAAAAGGGTGCATATATTCAAAACTAATTCAGCTATTCCCATCCAGTGATGACAAACCTCAGAAGATGCTAAGATTCATCTGATGCTATATTCCAATCACAAAGTGCTGGAAAACTTTGCATTCTACACATTTCCAAATTTACGCCAACTCCAGTCTAAACTTCCCTACAATTTGGAGTATTCACTACTCCCTCTCTAAACTCCATGTAAGACCCTAGAGAGGCTCAAACTTCTTGAGGTTACCCTCAAGAAGTCATTCACTGATGGTGGTATAACCAATACTAAACAAGACCACAGTCTTTCAAAATGGAAATATTTAGGTGATGGCAAAACAATACCGATAGCCTCAGAGAATTTACTGAGATAAATGTAAATTTATAATGGAGGGACTATTCAGAGACTAAACAACAGAAAAATCATGGCATCTTCATCACTGGGCCTGGAGTTTTTCTAGAATGCAAGTCATGGTTGAAACAAGAATTAATTCAAGGAAGTGCTGTAGTAATGATTAAATTATTACTTTTGATGGCATAGCATGTTATTTTCCCTTCTTTTTTAGTATTATAATTACATTGCTTATATTTTTTTAAAGACAATTTCCTTCCATTTGCTTTTGCTGTCTTCTCATTCAGTAAGAGTCAAACATCAAAAGTAACATCAAAAGAAAATTACTAATTGGTTATCCTTAAATGGTAACATTATGTACGAAGTGTTGTTCCAAGTAAGCATATCAGAACAAAGAGAACAACCTAAAATACTCTTAT